GATAGAAATAATTTTAACACTTTGGCAATGGTATAGATGAAGAAGAAACTTGAAGCAACAGAAATCTGGTTCTACAGATACCATCGGCCGAACAGGTGAGCAACGTCGAAGTTTTACAGGAAATGGAAACAAATACTTCGGGAGCTTATTGTTAACATCAGGAGGAAATTTTCTAACGCACATAATGAAGAAAGAAGTCTTGGGAAATCTGATGCGCACAGGACAGAATGTAGCAAAGAGGCACAGGAGAAATCAACGCGTAACATACTTAGTGTACATGAGTAAATGGATGGCGGAACATGGTTTGTGAGAGACAACAAAATTCAAAATTATATTAAGAGCTACAAAGGACAAGAAATTGTGGAGAGCCATGATCGCCTACGAAGAAGAAAAACGCTACAGATGTCATTCTTGCTTCTTCCCAAAGTTCTATTTGGCGATAGGTCTGTGACATCAGACTAAATCAAAGGGAATTATCCTGTCAACAAAAGGGATTTACAAGGAGAACTCTAAACACAAAAGGGATAACAGCGATGCATTAAATATTCGCTGTATTTAATCTTCTCTAATCATCGAAAAAAAGATTTTCGTTTTAAATCCTTTTATTCAAACATCACCAGTGGTATATAAAAAAATCAAATCTTACTTTTTCTTAAAGAACAACCATTTTAGGAATAATAACATTAGGAATAATCATTTTAGGTTTATATTCCTTCATTTCCGATCTAGATCTATGATATTTTCGTCAAAAAGATTTTGGTCGCTATATTTTTATGTTATAAAGCCGAAGAGCCAGTCAAGGTGGAGGATTACTGAACAAGGTCATATCGACGTAAAAAGAAAAGGTTATAGGTGCGGATTATGAGTCTATTTACGATCGATAATGGTGGAGCTTAGACTTGAAGGAGTTAATATTGTATTGATTCTGAAAGTATCCTCTCGGGACGGACATGATTAGGGATATCGATCTATTGAAAAGGTGGAGGTTGAAGTAGCAAAAAATCAACATCCACAAGTAATATATGTAAAAGCTTTATGGATCAATTATCAAAGAATACAGCTGTAATTTTACGCTTCATCATAACATCCAGAAGCCTCACCGGAAACTACTGCATACTCCAGATCCCATTCACAAAATGTCAAGATAAAAGCTCGATATTATACTCCTGCTGATGAGATAGCTTCCTTAGAAATTATTCTTAAATGACGATCCCTGACTATAAGGTGGCTAATACCGACCCAGAAAACGTTTACCCCCAGTAACATTAATAAAGAAAGTCCAAGAAAATACTGACATACTACTTGAACTCGTGTCGTCTAGCTACATAATCAAAGCTGCAAATCGTCTTGAGTCATAAATATCATACCTAAGTGAGCTGCTAGGCACAAAGATAATCTTTCTCGCATGAGTGGACTAAAGGACCCACTTGGAGAAGATAGGCTTATAAAGGCTGTGCGTGGATTAGCTAAATTCTCCTGACCCCATTTACACTTTCTTTAAGTAGATTGTTGTTATAACGCTCTTCGTCATTCTTATAAGTAATGCTTCGGCTACTTGCCATGACGTCTGTATTACTTAGTCTGAAGACTAATTGCAAATGCCTTCTGGTATTTAAAAAATCTCCCCACAAGGCAAGGTGTGTCACAAGGCTGGTTTTCTCTTCTCCTATTGGGGTGCTCATAGACATTTCCTTCTGTGTGAAATGAGTCCTATGTTGGATCTGAAGAGACCTTTCACATCAACCTCATGGTAGGGTAGGAGAGTTCAGGGGATGGACACTTCTGGCTTTTCTTTGGACTCCTTTCTCTTTTTCTATTGCTCATCGACATTTACTTCTATGTGAAATGAATCCGATGTTGGATCTGAAGAGACGTCCGCAGTCACCACATCATAGGCTAGGAGTGTTCAGGGGATAGAGAGCTGTAGCTTTTCTTTGGGATCTCTTCGTCTCTTCTATTTGTCATCTGGTATTTTCAAAGGATGTTGTCTTTTCGTGAACTGCTCTTCTCCATTTGGTTCTTTCTGCGGCTTCCATCTTCCAAATGACAAGATCGATTTCTCTTCTCAGCAAGGTGTTTTTGAGCTGATCCTCACGCTGTGCTCCACGTGGTCTCTTCCTAGATGCGAGCCTCGAGAAGAGGATTTGTTTGGGTAGGCGGGTGTCTGCCATCGGGCAACGTGTCCGGCTCATCAAAGTGCTCATGATGGATTCTAGGCTCTCCATTTTTGAGCAGAGGAGAAATTCGTCGTTCGTGATGCGGTCCTGCCACGTGCTTCACAGGATTTGACGAAGTTTCATTTGATGGTTCTAGCTTGCGGACATGTCTTCAGTAGAGTACCCAGATCTCACAGTCGTACAGGAAAGTCCAGATTTTAACAGAACAGTAGAACATGTGCTTGCTTGTTTGTTTGTTTGTCTTAGTCCAGGAATACCGAAGATTTTTTGAATAGCTTCTCGCATGCTGTATCAGCGGCCTTGAACCAGGGAATATGCATTTATTAAAAGGATAAAGAAATATCTATTTTTCACAGTATTTTTCAAAAAAAGGCGGCAAAGCATCAAGGATTTAATGGTATGCCGTCGTGAGTATGTTTAGGTAATGCATCTCACAGACGAATCAGTCAGTTATGTGCCATGCGTGATACACGCTTAGGCGATTATGTATCTTTCGATACATGACTGACGAGGCAGTTTTTCCCGCAGTATATAGCCATTTCTTTCTGCGATAGACCAGCCATCCAAGGGAACCCGGGGAGAAGAGAATTCATACCTTTCCAAGGGTATTAACATATATGTGAATGTAATGGAATTCAAACTCAGCTCTCCGATTTCTCAATCCGAGTCGCTATCCATTACTCCACCGTACCTCCCCATCTACTTACGAATACTACAGCAATAAGATTGATCCTCACTGAATCCCTGATACTTATATCGTGCCAGATTCAGTTAAGCTTAAGAAATATCGGCACCTGGTTTCGTAGTAAATTCAAATGAGTATCGATTCGAGTGATCCAGAAGCAAACTTTACTTAATTTTGATTTTGAATATACTAATTTGCAGCTCCAATTTAACTGTATACAGGGCGATTGAAAAGTAACTCCTCATTTAAGAATACTTATAATTTATTTATTAACTATAATTTTTACAAGAAATGACTATCAGAGGAAAGCGTTTTATTTAAAATTAGACATGGGCACTAGATTTCGCTACTAGCTTCTCGATCCGCCCAGGAATCGCATCAAATGATTTCACCAGGAACTCTTGTGGCATGGAAGACATAACTTCTTGTATTTGCCCTTCAAGTTCTTCTTAGCTTGCTATAGTAGGCTTGCTCTTTTACCAAACCCTAAAGAAAAAATGTTACAGTTTAAGTCATAACTCATGGCTAAACACTCATTTATAAAATAGGGAGTTAATTTTCAGTCACCCTGTAGTTTAAAGAAAACATTTAACATTCTTTGCAAAAAATAAAGAATAGACATAGATGCGTGGCTAACGCAATGGTTAGTGGTTCGGAAAGATTGTTCTAGTTGTTCTAGTTCTAGTTCCACGTGCCATTCCTCTTGCGGATGTATCAGAACAAACTACCCTGATGGACGAAAAAACTGTTCGGTTCGAAATTCCAATCACCTGGAGAAGGCCAGAGCGTACAACTGCCGAAACATCGTGATTATAGCAAGGAAGATGAGAATAACAGTCCGAATAATTTAAATAATCATAATACCTCATCTCAGAGATATAAACAGATTATATTTTTTAGTACTCTCCAGTAAGTACCTGGTTCCTCGTGCTTAAAAAAGGCAGATTAGGCCTCAAATGTAGTACTGATATCATATTTTGGCAAGAGATGCCCAGTCTTTACTTTCCAATCTGTGCGTCCTTGTGGGTGATAAATTATTTTCCATCCTGGATCTCCACAGACAAAATGTCGCAAACGCCTTACTCTTCTATCGCTACTGCTATAGGAAGCGCTTAAACGAACTACACTGCTTAATTTCACCAGTTCTAACCTTCATGGCTATGAGCCGCCATGCTACGCGCATTTTAGCGAATGATCATCATTCCCTTTGTATTCCATTAGGGAAAAGTAAGTTCCACTCGAGCAGCTTCTTCCCGTGAACGATTCTCAGTGGAAGCGACTCCCAAGAGGATGTTTTCCCAACCACTACAATATTAATCTATACATGTCTATGGTTAACTCTTATTTTCCCAATATATCTGCATAAACTGTGACACTTACTCTGTAACCCTCTACCTTGAGTGGCTCCCGGCTCTGTACAGGGGTAACCTCACTAATAAAAACAATAGCAAAAAATAATTCTAATTTCACCCACAGTATCAGCTGCCATCTTTTTCTACCCAAGTTAGCCAATGTACACGTTTAACTCTTAATAATATAATTATTTGGATGCATATCCCCTGTTGACCTTAAATGACCTCTGAGGTCAATTCCATATAGTCTGTGTCCCAAGTAAATTTTCTGTGAATCATCATACCAAATTTTATGTCAACAGGCTTACTTATTTGAGCATGGTCGTGGCGCAATCACACAAACAGAAACCTCTATTATTAGTATAGATTTATACTAATATCGATATATCGATTCTTTATCATCAGTGGGTCGGGAAAGAATAGATTGTTTTATAGCTAACAGCGTTTGTGCTCCATAGGAAGCGAAGTATGGAGTCTGAAGTATTTTTAACAGTTCTCATCCTGACTTTCAATCGGACGTTGAAGTCTAAAACCAAATAATAATAATAATAATAATAATAATAATAATAATAACAAACTTTTAGCCCTAATAAGATATATCCATGCGGAAGATTTCGTTTTTCCAAACCGTTCTTTAAAGTTTGTATGTTTAATGCTAATAATACAATTGTCCAGGTCTTTCATAGCTAATAATAACTTTCACTTGAATTTGTACGCAGATTTAGTTTTATATCTTTTTATCCGGTTCCAAAAGTGAAGGCAACGGAGCATGCGCGCACAAAAGCG